CCCCTCCCCCCTCTCCTCCCCCCCCTTGACCAGTTGAAGCAGCATGTACAGGAGAGAGGACGCTGAGGGGAAGATGGTTGTTGTGGAGGAGAGCAGTTGGGAAAGAGTAGGAAGGGGAGAGAAGAGGGAGAAAAGGAGGGGAGGGAAGAGGAAAAGAGGAAAAAGGGTAATGGCATACGTACACCAGCACTTCCGGCTTTCCTCTGGACGTCATTGAGGGCAGATGCATGCATGCCTGGCCGTAAAAGCCGTCAAATACATCCAGACAAGTCTTAGAGTGAGTACGCTCGAAATGAAGTGCCAAGGTACCTTGATGGCAGTGATTGGTGGTCCCCACCACCTTAGGGCGGAACTATGAGGAGGAAGGGAACTCAAAAAAACTGGATTTCGTAAACGGAAGCAGCAAGGTACGTTGAGGGCAGTGATTGGTGGTCCCCACCACCTCAGAGGGGGGTATCAGTTGTCGGGCAGGCGTTGATGCTTAACCGCAACTTGGGTTAATGACCGTACGTTGTATTCGGGTGAACAAGCTATTCACTAGAATTTTCTTGAGTGAATCTGGTCGCAACCTGGGTTAAGGTGGATGATTACTTTCAGTGCGAATCTGGCCGTAGTTGAGGTGTCAGTTGTAGAGGGGCAGTCACGTGATGCTTGACGGTAACCGGGGTTAAGGTGGGTTATATCACTTACAGTCTCATTCATCCACCCTAAGGTGGGTTAGGGGGGCGGGGGGGACTGTGCAGACTGGCTGTAGAGGGTTCAGCACAGTCCTCCTCCTTGCTGACTCAGTTGGTGGTCCCCACCACCTCAGACTAACTGCGAACGACGAAACAGTTCCGTCACAGCCCCTCGTTTGCTGTCCTCTTCTCCCTTTCTCCCTTTCTCCCTTTCTCCCTTTCTCCCTTTCTGCCTCCTCCGGTTTACCGCGCAGCTCTGTTTAACGATTTACATATATGTATGTATATATGTATGTGTATATATTGTCACATGATATCAGAGCGCCGAAGCGAAAAACGAAAGAAAACACGGAAAACAAGAAAAACTTAATTCATTTTTTATCTTCTTCCTTACAACTCCTCCTGTTCAGAAAGAACCTCTTGCGTACAAGGCCGCCCACGTGGATGCAGGTTGAGCGGCGGCTGCCCCCACCCCCCTGTGTCATATCGACCCACTTGCACACAGCCCAAAGGCAACGAGGCAAAGAAAAGAGGAAGGGAACATCCAAATAAAACAGAAGAGGGGGCAACAAAACAGATCCCAGATGACAAGTCCCACATGCAAGCACCGCCCCAACACACACAGGCCAAACGACGGGACAAGACCAACCAGGATGTCAAAACATTCTTGTCTGCAAAGAAAATAAAAAAGAACCCGGAGGACAGGTATTAAAAACAATCCTGGATGACGATTTCCACATGCAAGCACCGCCCCCCTTTCCAAAAGGCCGAACAACGGGAAACAACTAACCAGGATGCCAAAACAATAAAAAAAAACAAAAACGGATGACTGTTCCCACATGAAGCACCGCTACCTGCTTAGACCGAATAACGGGACAAAACCAACCGGGATGCAGCAGACAAGATTACCACAAGAAAACAAAATACCCCAACAACCAAAAGGGAAAATTACATAAAAAATGGGATATGTCATTTACTTTGTTTATGGGATGTGTCATTTAATTTGTTTGACTAATACACCTTCCTTCCCTTGTGCTTTCTTTAACGTTTTCTTAAATACCATAACAAATTCTACCATATCCATAGTTTAAAAGAACGGAACCATACAGTAGGCCGGCAAAACGGAATATGTATATGTATATATACATAGTAGATGATGACGCTGTAACGATTGTGATTTGGCGATGGAACTACAGAAAAAAGAGGAGGTGGGGAGAGGAGAGGAGGGGGAGAGGAGTTGGGGAGAGGGGGGGGGGGGAGAGAGGAGGGAGGGAATAGGAAGAAAGGAAAAAAGAAGCCGAAGGGGAAGAAGGAAGAAGAGAAAAGATGGAAGAAGGCAGAAGAGGAGAGATCCCAATCGATAGAAAGGAGAAGGAGAAGGAGAAGGGAGAGGAAGCAGGTTGAAGGCGTATGTAGAGGGCAGTGGTTGGTGGTCCCCACCACCTCAGAGGAGTGACGAGGACGAGAAAGGCGAAGATGAACTGAAGTTAGATGAATCAAAAGGGGCAGGAAGGTGGAAAGAGGTTTAATTGAAAAAAAAAAAGGGTCAGAAAGGTATGGACAGCAGCAGGAGGAGGAGGAGGAGGAAGAGGAGAGGTAGGGAGAGGAGGAGGAATAGCAGAGGTAGGGAGAGGAGGAGGAAGAGGAGAGGTAGGGAGAGGAGGAGGTAGGGAGAGGAGGAGGACAGGAGGAGGTAGGGAGAGGAGGAGGAAGAGGAGAGGTAGGAGGAGGAGAAAGAGGAAGAGAAAGAAGAGGACGAGGAAGAGGAGAGCAATTAGATGAGGTACGGGAGCAGTGGCTACAGAAAGAAAGGAAGGAGGCTCTTTCGTTTTCGCTCGAGTAACTGGACTAGATTCATGCATCGTAACCCCGAATAGAAAGTCCATTATTCCGTAGGCGGAGGCGCAACATCTACCCTCGTGGTTTGTCTTCTTGTGCTGTGCTCCTCCATCCTTCGTGTTCCTTTCCTTGGTCTTATCTCCCGTCTCCATCCTGGTCGTCCTCATCGTTCCCCTTCTCCGCCGCCTCCCCCCTCCCGCCCCCCCCCCCCCCCCCCCCCCCCCCCCCCCCCCCCCCCCCCCCCCCCCCACCGCGTGATCCCCCCCCCCCCCCCCCCGACTTACCCCGACCTTCCCTCCCGCCAATCCTGGTGGATTAATTAATGAACTCATCTACTCTTGATCACATTTTACTCATTCCTTTCCGTTCTCATCCTCTTGATCACCTTCTCCTCCTCGTGCTGTCAGCTGTCGGCCCCACACTTTCCAAATCTGGTTGAAGTTATATTGAGAAAGACGGAGCCCCTTTAGAGAGAAAGAAAGATCCCTCGTTACTTCCCTCTTCTTCTTCTGTCTCTTATACACATCTAGATGTGTATAAGAGACAGGATGCACTCTCCTTCAGTTTGAAGAGAAGAGATTAGCAGTTTGAAGAGCGAGAGGAGTCCGGGGCGATTTGTATAAAAATTGTGGAAAAGTTTTCGATAAATTCCGAATTGATTGTGGATATGGTTTTTGATGAGTTTTGAATTAATTTGGATGAATCTTGAATTGATTTTGGATCAAGTTTGGACGAGTTTTGGAATTATTTTTTGAGAGGGCTTTTGGATGGACGAGGAATCGTGCGAAGATACTTCGAAGATACTTCGCAGATACTTCGACGATAGTTCGAAGATCGACGGTCATTGTAGTTGATGGTCAGACATGATCAGTCCAGGCAAGTGGTGACCACGCCGTCGATCTGCGTAATAGTGGTAATCATCATTTGAAAACCGTTTGATTTGAAAAAGTCGTTTGAAGCTTCAATCCGGAGGTCATTCGATGTTCGTTAGCGCCTCGAAGATCGACGATCAGAAATGGAGATCGACGGCCATTTATTTCTGACCCCCGGATTCCTCATTTCTGGCCGTCCATCTTTGTAGTGGTTTGTAATCGGCGGTCAGAATCAACGCACACAGACTCTCTATTTCTGGCCGTCGATCTTCATGATCTTGTAGTCGTTGATAAATTGATATGATAGATGGTCAGAGAGAAAGGATCGACGTCAGGCAATTGACGAGGGACATTGAAGGCATGTGGGTCTAGTAAAAGGAAGGGAGGGAGGGAGGGAGGGAGGGAGGGAAGGAAGGAACTGGTTTATGCGCTAGATGCAGATGTTTAACGATGTGAGAGATAGATGTAGTCTAGATGATTCTCCCATGAAGTAGCAAGGTGACTGTCAGTCAGTAAATCCGCAGTTGGTAAATCCGGTGAGATGCATCGTCGAGCCAAGAAAGGGAAGAACTTGTATCTGAGAGTCAGTCTGCAGAGAGACTGGATGTGTTTGCATGCACAGCTGGCTTGCATGTGACCAGCGTCTTTCCCTGATCACAAATGAATCCTCATCATGAATGAATATAAGCTATACTTTCCCGTCCCATACGTCCATGATGAGGGTCTGTGTGTGTGTATGCGTGTGTGAGTGAGTGTGTTGCGTGTGTGTTGTGTGTGTGTGTTGTATGTGTGTGCGTGTGTGTGTGTGTGTGTGTGTGCACACGCTTCAAGGAACAGGGCGATGGATGATGGAAGTGGGTGTGCAAATGTGGCTCGTTTTTCTGTGGGGATAAAAGAGCGAAATTGTGTTTTGACTCTTGAGTCTTTATGCATGTGGAGGTAGGTGGTGGACGCATATGGTTGCCGTGGCATCTGATCGATGATGTTATCCTTTTCAGGTTTTGGCATTGTGAGGGGCTGCAGGGCCGAACCGTGGACATCTGCCTCCGGCGGAGCAAAGAGAATGGCAGTGTCGCTGGTTTGCAAACTTATTCTGTTTTCAATCGCGAAGAAAGTGACCGTCTTTCTAGTTGCCAAGGTATGTGATGAAGAAAGTGAACGTCCAGATTCCGTCTTTCGTAAACGACGGAAGTAGTAACATCACCGATATAGTGACATGTCCTCATCGTGGAAAAAAAAAAATAGAAGGTTCTCTCTCTCTCTCTCTCACACACACACACACACACACACACACACACACACACACACACACACACACACA